AGGAAGGGCAGCTTTCATCAACTCATTCATTAATCACAGTCAACATTCCCATTAATTCTGAATACAAAATATAATTGAGTAAGTCGAATTAAACCATATAGAATTCTTTAAAATATTACAATTTTCATGGTCTGGAGATAGAAGTTATTATAAAAACTTCACTTATGCTACTTCGAAGAAACTTTCTAAACTTCACGAATGTTACTTCGAACGAGCTCTCTAATTTTCACGAATGTTTCTTAGGACGAATTGTCTAAACTTCACGAATGATACTTCGAATGAAATTTCAAAACTTTGCAAAGCATGGTTTTTGCAGCAGTTTATGTCTCAAATTTCAGTAGTAAAAATAGAGAGATTTTTAAATATTGGTTAAATGTTTAATAATATGAAGCATAATTATTATAAAATTAGCAAACGCGAAGAATTTATACGCATAATCTCCGTACTCCGCTGCGTGCTGACCGACACCAATAAACCAATCAAAATAATTAAGACAATAAAATTAATACAAACCAATAAAATAACAGTAAAATGACCAATCATTCAACTGTAAGGAATTTATACAAGCATAACGGCTAACAATTTTATTGAAACTCAAGAAGGTAAACTTCGGCTCCAGCGAAGTAGAATAAAGGAACTGCAGTGGATGCAGTTTAGGGAACTGAAAGTAGAAAAAGAGACTTTGCTAAATAAATGCCGGATTAACTGAACGATCACCAGCTTCATGGATTTGTATGGAAGTCACGAATGGTATCGCTGCTAACACCCGGTCCAAGTAATTAGTAATCCTGCCGTGCCTAGCAACATGCATGCTTACTATACGTGACGCAGTTACATAGAACTTGAATACTTTTTGGTTACACTCACGTCATTAAATTGAAAATTATAATATTTTTTATCTGACGATTTACAAAAAGCTGTTGACGATTTAAGTCAAGTTATTTTCGAGAGGCAAGTTTTATCATTGACGCTAAATATCGCATATATAAGTTTCATGTAATTTTATCAGATACGAATAAAAAAGTGACACTAAACTTCCATGTTCGCTTCAAGTGGAACAAGCACGAGTCCCGTGTTAAGCACCGCTAAATATGTGATGGTAAATCGCTCATTGAAACGAACGATTTATCTACCAAATCGTTCGTTTCTTTGAAACGAACTATAAGATAAATAAAAAATATTTTTTCTGTACTGGTTGAAACCTTTCCGTTGGAACAAAATTATGCTAATTGGAAAAAAAGGTCCTGAAGTTGAATATATGTACGTAACATTGGCGAAAATAAACCGGGTAGCGCGCAGCAGTTCTATGGCAATAATTGTCTGACTTTTCGTAAAAAAATGTAACGTGTTTCCAAACATAAAATTGGCCAGGATTACAATTTCAATTATATACAATTGAGTTTTACAAAAAAAACTCTCATGGCTACACAAATTTAACCTGTAAGAAAGGGTGTTATAAGAGGTGTTATAAGTTTTTGTAAGAAAGGTTGTTTAACCTTGTCAGTTTATTGCAGACTTGAGACTATTCTGAAAACTTTGAAAGTTGGTTCTGTTAAAATTCCGCAGATTTGCCTGAGTTAACCTGTATAGGTGTATATAATGTGTGCACCACCGAAATAATTTTTGACATAATTATCTGAGATAAAAATACCAATATAAAGATCGCTGATAAAATCCGGTTAGGATCTAAAACATGTCATTTCAGGACCATCGAGATTAGTTTATACAAATTTATTTCGTTGTTTCAAGCATGGTAAGCATTTATTCATTTTTTATCCAATTCTGTAAAATGTTTTTCGAAAATTTTGAATCATGGGGTTTAGCTAAATAATTTCTGTCGTGGAGGGCGAGTCAAAATTCTTGCATTTGCATGCTGGTTTCGACCTTCGTTATTGACAATAATTTCTTACAAATTTCTTTGCCATTGAAGACACGAGTTATACATACAAATTTTTTTGAGTCGAGGTGCTAGTTTGTTCAATACAGTTCAACGGAAATTTACGCAAATTAAAATTCTATTCATACTTCATTCATATATCATGAGGACCAGATATTCTTGAACCATATTTATTAATGAAAATTTTACGTATTCGCAGGTTAATTTCAATTCAATTGAACCTTATTCATTAAATAAAAATTACACTTATTCACAAGTTAATTACCATTCAGTCTTGAAGTGCAAGTCATCGCCGGCTGAATGTACACACTAACTGTTCACTAAATTCAGTTACAACTCTGTGCAATATTTTGTCTAAGTCTTCTTATTTGCCTGGGAATTGAAAATAAATCGTATTATATTTTTCCTTCATACATTGATGCCATTAAAATGTAAGAGCTCGGCACGTATTCCCCGCATTAAGATGCTGAAAGGCAGATATTCGTGTCCGGAATCCTGTGTTGGACCAGAATTATATTATCATTTTACTAATTATTTTTTGTTTTCAATTTATATTATTATTAAAATATAATTATATTATAACTATTACGATAATTATTTTAATAAGTGGACAAGTTTTCTACGAAATGTATTTTAACTACGTAACAAGCTATTCTCCGAAGAGAACACCCAAATATCAGTGTAGAGACCAGCTCATAGTTGTATACTGAAAATCAGACTCGTAAATTTAAGCTCAAATTCATACATTCATTATTGACGATGTCGGGGAATTAGGTAAATTGTAATTGAAGCAATTATTTGATTGTAACTTCCAATAATTCAATAATGATCCCATTGAAGTGTACAACAAAAAGAAATTCTTAGGCCAGTCAAGCGTGAAGGTCCGGAAACCAAATGTTCATGCATATCAATGCAAACAACATTTTTACAATGCCTATTCTGTTATTGTCGGTGAAGAATAGCAGAAGCCACAGGAATTGTCATTTGAGAATCGTGCGTAGAATATTATTTTATTCACTGCATGAGATCCGAGATATTTCTTCGATAATTACATGAACATGATTCTTTTGAGGTAATATGAATTAGGTTCCAGGTAAATAGTTGCTGAAAATTCCAGTTTGCCGCTGACCATCAATGGAGAGATAAATATGAATGTTAATCGCTGACGGAAAATATAGATAGGAAAAGTTCAAGGACGGTTTTACTGTTGAAGGAGAAGCGTAAAAAATCGGGTTCCAAAGGCCGGATCCCTTGTGAATTAAGTCACGAAAAATTCAAGAATCGGCAACAGGCCATGGGCCTATTTATTCAGTGCCGACACTTCTATTCTATTCTATTCTAAAAGAAGCTAATATTCACGCAAAACAAGTACAAAATGAGGGGATTACATTGATCTAACGGAGATGCGTTTTTTAAAAGAATCCGATTGAATTTTGCATTTTATTCTGGAAAACAAGAGGCAAAAATTCATTTATTATAACGCTTTATAATGTTTCGAAATGCAGGCTTGACCTTTGCCAATCATCCAGAAATTTTCGTTATTATCGTTTGAAAGTTAATATCGTTTATATGATTTAATTTGCGGTTTAATTGAATGTTCTAGGTATTGGTGTTTGAGTTGTATATGAATACAAATGAATAATAGCGCGTTCAGCCCAATAAACTTGCTCCATTTAGTAACAGGAGTGTACGCGATAAATATTCCGTACTTCTAAAGGACATCGTATGTGTAGGGGTTCCAGAGCTCGCACCATCTAACCTAAAATAAGTTTTCATTTTCATGCACTAAACACGAGCCGAAAGTCATAATAAGCACTCAAGAACGCTAATAAAAGTCTATTGCTAAAGTGCGACAGAGATCCAAATTAAATTCGCAAGATTATCTGCATTTTATTGAAATAATGCGCGTTCAAATAAATGATCGTGCCATATCGGCCACCAATATCGTCCATTCCGTATTAGTGTATGAGGATAAAATTGTAATAAGTTAGAAACACACGCACTAAAAGCGATCAAAGCACACATTTTGGTAATTCAGTTCATATTTCACTGATTGAGAATTGATTCTCAGCCTTCCATTTTAATATCGTAGCGACCATAGAAAATATTTAATTACTCGTACCTGTACACAATTTTTTTTTGTATCATAGCGACCGTTTCTGGCCCGTCCTCGTCCGTAGACTTCAATTACGTTTTCAGAAAGTGTCCTTCATTCACTTTTTATATTATGAAAGTTCAAAAATAATTAATGATGACTGAAAAAATGTTCATATACATAATAGAGCATTTTTTATCTAAAATAAAATAGAGGTCAGTGACCGACTAATTAAGAGCTCATGCGTGACTAAAGTCATGCGGTCGTAAACAATATGGACTGAGTGAAATAAAGTCATAAAAACTGTTTAGCAAAGGGCAAGGTGTAAGTTATTTTAACCTATCAACACGCACTAGCTTCTAATATTTGAAGTATAATAAGAACATTTCTGCTACTTTCACTTTGGTGCCGAGCAATGTGATTTTAAATTTGCAATTCAAAGTAATTCTTAAAATTTAATTATTGATGTAGCCATCAAACATTCATAAGTTATTCATGAGTTTCAATGATTTAATGTGCCAAAAAATGATTTTGACATCAAAATTAATTTATCATTTCTTGATTTATCAAAGTGATTTGACAAATCAACGGTTACGCTCAAATCACTCAAGTCATTTTGAGTGATTGAACGGTTACAAAATATTCAGATTATCTAAAATGTCAAGGATTGAGGAGAAAAAAATCGTGAATCCTATCTATAAATTATCAATTTTTCTCGCTAATTTCTCGTCGAATCGTCCGCTACTTGCTTGTAATTGTTCAAATAACCATTACCTAATTCATTCAACAATAATATCACAATTGTCTTCAAGAACAGTGAGAAACGAAAATAATTAAACCTTATAATGTTATATTAAATTATGAAACCTTATAATCATTATATTAAATTATGAAACCTTATAGTCATTATATTAAATTATGAAACCTTATAATAATTATTCTATATTATGAAACCTTATAATCATTATATTATATCATGAAACCTTAACTTAATTATATTTTAACCAGGTACACTCCCCCAAACCCACCATGGGGAAAGAAACGAAGGTGATGCAAGTGACCCCAGCAGACGACACAAACCCTGACGAAGTGGGCAACGCGCGCGGGACGTGGGACAGTCAATGCGAGTTTTTCCTCTCGTGTCTTGGATACGCTGTGGGGTTCGGCAACGTCTGGAGGTTCCCATACCTCGCCTACAAGAACGGCGGAGGTGGTGGCTTGCATATAAGATTATGAAAAAATATAACTCAGTACTCACTGCAGTGAGTGACAGAGAGCGCATTTTCTCGTCGACGAAAACGTGAAGTCACTGACGGACAGACAGACGGACGGACATGACGAGCACAATAGGGCATTATTTCCATAAATGAGAAAATGCGCTAAAAATAAAGTTTTTGAAGAGTTGCTTCAAAATTTTTGTTGCAATCCGACTTTGCTTCTTTTAAGACATTATTGTTCTGTAAATTTGCATTCTTTGCACATTAAAACTGCAGCTAAATATTTACTAAAAATTCACTTGACACGTTCATGAGCTTCATTTCAAAAAAATTATCGCTCTATGCGTACCTACAAATACTCAAACGCTACGGTGAATGTATTGAAAAGTTCGAATGAGCAGACTTATGCCCTGAGTCAATTTTTGCTCAAAACTGATATTTCGGCCCTGCTGACCTGGTGTAGAATGTAGCATAAACTGTATTAAGCTGACATAGGGTAACATGGGGCAGCGAGCCCACTGCGGGTCACGGGCCCATAGCGGGTTTCTCGCTAAGTATGTTCTTGTGTGTCCAGCGATCTTCCTGCTGCCGTACACGATCATGCTGCTGGTGGCTGGGCTGCCGCTGTTCTTCCTGGAGCTTTCGTTAGGACAGTTCACCAGCCTCGGCCCCAACAAACTGTTCCTTAGCCTGTCTCCAATTTTTATGGGTAATTAATAAACATATAATAGTAAATTAGGTCTCCATCTAGAATATTATCAAAATATTAAACGTTTTATGTTCATTGTTCTTTATGATAATCATGCGACGAATGCGGCTCAGTAGCCATAAAATAAATTTGAGATTTCATTTACGCTCCTTATGTTTCATTTACGACGAACATAGTGAAACATTTGAGAAACACTGGATACCTTTTAAAAATACATCCCAATATATTAGTATAACAAAAATGAGCTTTGTTCATATTACAGTTCATAGTAGAGGATCTACGATAGATCAATGCCGAGGAATGGGCTTATTTTAATTTCGATTGAAAATTTCATTTTCTTGCGACAGGTAAAATGATATTTTATGCTTACATTATTTCGTTTGAGATGCGAATTTTGTCTCTTCTTCTTGACAAAATGATAAATGATAAATATTGCAATTATCCTGCATAAAATAATCAATTTCTTCTAGTATACGAAATATTTTGTTTCTTCTAGTATACGAAATATCTAATATACGGAAATATTTTGGACTCTTGAGAGTCCTTCATTAAAAACTAAATGAATCTTTTACGATAACAACGATAAAACTGATTCTTCTAAAGATAAAACTGATTCTTCTAACCTGTTTTATTTTGATCAGGACTGGGATGGGGGATGTTGGTCATCTCGATGCTGGTTGCGATCTATTACAACGTCATCCTGGCGTGGTCTCTGTATTATACCTTCGCTTCATTCACCAGTGTTCTGCCCTGGGGACATTGTAATAACACCTTCAACTCTGACAGTGAGTGTAATGCTGACAGAAGCTCGGAGCTAACTTGAAGAACAGTGTTAGCTCATGGGCAGTGTTCTTCGCTCTGTAAGATATGAGGGTGAGAGCTGCAGGGTCGGAGTATCCTTAGTATATCCTTCAACAAAAGATTCTGAGCTGTAGACTGTACAGATTGTACCTGAAAATAGCAACTACGGATTAAAATTTCCTGGGGAAATTCTAATCCGTAAATTTTTAATGGCGTGAATGCATTTTATAGAAAAATTTCTGATTACTTAAATACAATAATGTCTTGGAAGTTCACAGCTTAATAATGAATTGTGTTTAATTATGATGCTAATTTTAATTCTTTCAGACTGCTTCACAGCTACAGATGCCAATATATGCCGCAACCAGTCAATGTTTTACTACAAACAAGACTGTGTCGATGTCGCCGCATACTGCCGGCTCTCCAAGCTCTCGGCATATAATCTAACTCATTGTGTAGACCCGACAAATTCTTCTAATCGGATCCTTGCGGAATCTTCTCGGAAACTTATCTCTGCGAGCGAAGACTATTTCAAGTTAGTGGGTGAAAGTAAAAAATTTCAACAACGTGCTTATAATGTTATAAAAAAAGTAAGTTGTGAAGTAATGCACGGTTGAATCTCTGGTTTCGTGTTTAAAGAGATAAACATTTCCAAGAGGAGCGAACATAGAACAGACTTTTTTGTTTTCGTGTAATCATCAGAACGCATATGCAGGGATAAATTCTTAAAGAGTGAATCCTTAACTAACTTTTAAGATTACAACATACAAATGTCTTGATTTCGAGAAAAATGTTACCAAAGTAACAGAAATAGAACAAAATTAAATTAGTCTCACCCAGAATACAATCACGTTCGTGAACGACGTTGAATGTTGATTCTTAACATCAAATCCGAATCAAAGTTATGTTAGAAATAATGTGAAATTACGCTAACGAATAATTCAGAATTTAAGAAGATCGTCATTTGTCTGAACATTTGAAGAAATCCAAAACTGAAATTCAACCATTACGATAGTCTATTTGTGCCATAACCGGCGAGTTGATTATTAATGCAACGTATCAGGGATCGGATGCACGAGTTATCTCTTATGTTTTAAATGCAGGAAGGATTTTTACTGGAGGAAACAGGGGTGGGTTATTTTTTCATGCAGAAATCGAAGGCAGTGTTATTTTTGAAAAGAAGAAACTGTGGCAATCCTAATTATTGTTAAATAGAGGAATGAGAGGCAGTGTTTTTGTTATATGGAGGAATGAGAGGCAGTGTTATTGTTAAATGGAGGAGTCGGATGCAGTGTCATGATTAAATGGAGGAATCAGAGGTAGTGTTATTTTTTCATGCGGAAGACTAATTTTGCTCCAATTTTAAATTCACGAATTGGCTGCAGTTATTTTTCAATACGAGAATCGGATGCTTCGATATTTTTATGATCCAGCATCCAGTAACTGTTGTATTTTTTAAAACAGGAATCGGATTCTGCTATATATAGAAATACAGTACACTAGTAGGATGCTTTGTTTTTTTTTCTAATTTGAGGATTAAAAGAGTGGGGTTTTTTAATATAGTAATCTGATGCTGAATTATTATTAATCCAGGAATCGTATGCTGGGCCGCACTGATGACATCACGTGGGACAACATGGGCGGTCTGAACTGGGAGCTCGTCGGGTGCCTGGCGCTGGCCTGGATAATCGTGGGTCTCTGTCTGATAAAAGGCATTAAAAGCTCAGGGAAAGTGGTTTACTTCACTGCCTTATTCCCCTACGTCGTGCTGGTCATCCTCTTCTTCAGAGGTAATGATGTATTAACAAATATACTTCCAATCATGCTTTTTGTATAGTGATGATTTAATCAATTCCAGTTATACTATTTTGTGCTTACAAAAAACATCATTTCTTCAAAAAAATAAGAATTGTTTTCAACTTTTACTTTTAATTAGGTAAAAGCTCATTTCTCTATTAGTGATTCATTTGTTACGATATTCTCAAATATGTGTATGGAACCCAAGTTAGAAGAACAAATTTAATCTCAACACGTATAATCATATTTATGGGTTAAAACTATTCATGTACTTGGTTAATGGAAGGAATGATATACTAAGTACGTCACATTTACAAGCCAAAAAATATATAGGCAGCCTCTCTATTTATACTTATATCTATAGCTGAGTATGGATAAGGTATAGACCCAAGTCTATAATCGAATCAAATTCAATTTTCCTCAGGTTATGCATGATTTTTAAAGTGCGCTTCAGTTTAGCATTCCATCTAAATAATTTTTTCGCAATTTTTGAATCCCAAATTCTATATCAGTAGCACTCCGCATCTGCTTGAATTTCACATTCCATCTCAGTAACGTTCTGTGTTTTTTGAGTTCACCATTGCATCTCAGTAACTTTCCACATCTTGAATTTTGCCTTCCATCTCAATAACTTTTCGCATTTTTTGAGTCCCATATTCTATATCAGTAGCACTCCGCATCTGCTTGAATTTCATATTCAATCTCAGTAACGTTCTGTATTTTTTGAGTTCACCATTGCATTCTAGTAACTTTCCACATCATTTGGAATTCCGCGTTCCATCTCAATAACTTTTCGCAGTTTTTGAGTCCCGAATTCTATCTCATTAGCACTCCACATTTCCTTGAATTCCGCGTTCCATCTCAATACATTTTTCCCAGGCATTACCCTTGAAGGTGCTTACACCGGAATCGAGTTCTACATCCTGACGCCGAACGTCACCAAGCTGAACGAGATCGAAGTCTGGGCGGATGCTGCTACGCAAATTTTCTATTCCTTGGGATCTTCGTTTGGTGGCCTTATAACCCTCGCATCCTACAACAAATTCAGGAACAACTGCATGAGGCATGTGAAGTATTAAAAAATATATTAAATAGCGTGCGATTTCTTTAAGTAAATGTTTAAATTACTCCATGAAATTGGTAAGTTGTGGCTTCGTATAAGTCATATTACAAAGTAAATAACACCTATATATACATAGTGCGACTTCTCAGATCGATTTAATAACAAAAATATATTCGTTCTGGCTGTAAAAACATATTTCCATCTTGCTTTGGCTTGGTTAACATATTGTGCTGAGAAATTGAGGCATTATTTATAAGAGTTTACCACCTCATGCACTATGTTTTCAAAAATGCCTATTTAATTCACATAAAACTGAAAAAAGGAAGATTTATACACATGTGACGGCTGTGATCTGCTTCATTAAAAAGAAGTGAAGGCTGTCCCGTATTTTTTACAATTCTAATACTATATTAACAATCACCATTTCGGGATTAGCAAAATTCCAAAGCCCCTGTGAGCTGAATTCTCCACATCTAGCAACTGGATTTCATTTCCAGGGACGCGATAGTCATAGCCTTCAGCAACTGCGCGACTTCGGTCTTCGCAGGTTTTGTCATCTTCAGCTTCCTCGGGTTCATGGCGGTGTCGCAGGGCACGACAGTTCCTGAGCTGGTCACATCAGGATCCGGTCTTGCGTTCGTGGTGTACGCAGAGGCCGTGACCAACATGCCTGTGCCGCCGCTGTGGGCCTTTCTTTTCTTCTTTATGCTCATCACTCTGGGGCTGGACTCGCAGGTGAATTACAATTGTGAAAAACGTGGATTGAGACATAATACATGGTGCTATATATTAGGGTTATATTAGAAAATACAGGGTACAAAGGGAGTTATACAATTAATTTGTTAGCACAAATACGCTGTTTTTATGCAATTTTGTGCTGCTGTGTCAGGATTGTGAAAAATCTTAAAGCGTTCAGGAAACCCATAGTATTTAATTATGAAGTATTGAAGAATATTGATGTATGTATATTAAAATTACGCATGCCATTTGAAGATAGGGGTTAAGGCGAAAAAGAATTGGGAAGCTTTGAATGTGGGATTGAGTCATCGGAATGCTTTTTAAAATTTTGTGCCTGTTATTATTCATTGGGAAAATTTGTGGCGTTGTTACCGTCAGCTTCAGTGTCTTTTATTTTCCGATGTTCATCTATGTGGTCTTTATTGTTCATTGACTTAGAGAACCTTACAAGTTCAACATAATTCGATCTTATTTGATAATCATGTCAGTAACTCCAAATTTGTATTTATTAAAATAATTTCTGATATAATTACTTAAATTAGGGCCGCTTTCAACTATGGGAGTCTGTTCAGGTGATGACGCAACTTCTGGGACCTGCTACGATGCGTGCGGCGCGCTCGCCAAAGCACTTCTTAAATTTTTCAGTTTTTAGGAAAAGATCTTTGGCCGATTAAAAACCATGCTGTTAGTTACTGTGACATTTTGACATTTTATTAAAAATATTTGGGCCATTAAATTCAATGTCAGCAACTAAAAATCTAGCTGGGCCAACGGATATAAGATAAACGAGTAAACAATAATGCAAAATTGTTGCAGTTACATAGAAAATATTTTTAAATTATCTAGCTAAATCAACTAAGTTATGTAAATGATCTTTTTCCCTCCCCATAGTTCACTATGGTGGAAACGCTCTCGACGGCCGTGTTTGATCAGTGGCCGGTGCTGAGGTCTAGAAAGGTCCTCGTGGTGTCGTTGATGAGCCTGGTCCTCTTCTTGTGCGGCCTCACGATGGTCCTGCAAGGAGGACTTTACATGTTCGAACTCTTCAACTTCTACTCTGCCGGCATCTCCGTCATCGTTATGGCCCTCATCGAGGTGTCACTTATCTCATACGTGTACGGTGAGCTGCGACTGGGAACAGAACTGTATGGCCGCAACTCAACTTTATTACAAATATAGACCATTGGCAAAATACCGATTATGTTGACTGATTTCTATACATCGTGAAGCTATATTATACGCATCCTTATTTTTGTCAGTGAGCAATATGAGACTCGTGATGACATTCCCTCTCATTATAATTGCTACATCAGGCTTCCCGAGGTACATGAAGCACATCACAGACGACATGGGCATCACAGTTCCGAAGCCTCTCTACGGCTACTGGGCCATCACACTAGTTTGTCTCACGCCCATTTCCCTTGTGGTGAGTCTCTCTATTCCCGTTTTATATATTTTGATGTGTACTCAAATGTTGCTATTGCTGAGTGCTGTTCAACTTTCAACATTTTTTTCAACTTTTTCATCTTTTTCATCATTTTCAACATTAAAGACTTTCAACTTTAAAGACTTTCATTTTCAATATTAAATTTCAATTTTTTACTCATTTTCAATATTAAAGAAAATACAGTATTATGATTTTAACAATAACTTTTTGTAAGATTAAAAAGCCCGCTGGTAAAAATATTCAGCATTTTCAAATTTAAAAATCTTTGACCTGTCGATTTAAATAATATCAAGGTGAGTTGTTTGAGGAAAATCTCATCGTTGATGCAGGTGATATTGGTTATCTCGGTGATGGAGTTCGTACCTGCCTACATCGGAGACTACGTGTTCCCCCCCAACATCCAGACGCTCGGGTGGTTCATCACAGCCGCGTCCATAGTGTGCATCCCTGTCCTGGGGGCGTACGTTGTATGGACCGGCCAATACGTACGTTTCTTTTTAAGTGTTTTCGCAAAGAAAATTTCGTTAGTTTACTATAACTACGAATAAATCCATGAATTAGGAATTGTCGTTCTCGTCTTGATGAAACTGTCAATGAAAATTCATGCCACAAGCACCCTAAGAAAATAATGAGACCCTGTTTAAATATTAATGTGCCTATTATTGACTATGTGCGGGCATCTTGACACAGTTTATACCCGCAAAATGGCGCATCGGTGTTTCAACCATTATCTGCTCCTGCAATGTTTTAAGACCGTGTTATACTATTTATACAACATTATTAATTTATTTCCTGAATGCATAGATTCTTGTGCGTTCCAGAAGGGCAAGGAGCTGGTATTAGCGACAAAAGACTTCTGCTCGGCGCGCGAGCGAGCAGGACTGGGGGCATCAAGTTCTGGGGTGCCCAACAGCACCTTCAGGTACACCTACGACAACGATGGCTTCCAGACAACTACCGAAGCCAAGGTAATTAAGTAATTGTTGTATTAAGGGTATAATTAATCATGAAATTGCTCAATAATATGACGAAATTTCACTATTTATTCATTATTATATGTGACTTGTATGACTGAATAATGTATGACTTGTATGACTTGTATATGGCAGCATCAAATGTCGAGAAGTTCTTGAGCTTCCGTACCGCCCGTATACAGAAGTGCAATTTTTTAATCCCTGCTTTGTGCATTTGTAATATTCAAAACACCATCGATGACTGACAAGGCTCAATCTGTCATCACATTATTCATCACATGACACGACTTTTTGATTAGGTTATCTAATAAAAACGATTGTTAAGTCAAAACGCGTTTCATATCATTATGACCAGCAGCTGTGCGGTAACAATTTGCATAAGTTTCGTGGTTGTTTGGGCGGCTGATGAAAGTATCAGGGCTCCTAATTTGTTATTAATCATTTATCTAATTAATTATTATCGAACAATTCAAAATCAGAACCATGACCGTAAACTCATTATTATCGTATTTACTATAGCATCAGCAGACCACCAACAGTCAACGAATAAAAAATTAAAAAATGCTTACTTTTAATGATTTACCTTGAACATAGTTTAACCATAGTTGATTTTGAACATAGTTTAACATGAACTAATGAGTGATTATTTGGTCATTGTACAGGTTATTCCTTCCTCGAATTTCCACGAGCTGCCTCCTCCGTACAACGGTCACATGTGACTTTCTTCTGAACATTATAAGTAGCGTTTAACTTTTTTCTTCTCATGAGTCATTTCAGTGTAATGCTAATAGAGATATAAAGAATAATATTGAGGTCAGTTTTCAATCAGCATTTGCGTTCATGAGATGCAAAGCGTTGTTGCTATCAAGGATGCATGCTGCAGGGACAGCAACATTACAAGTCAGGAAGGTTTTCGGTGTCATAAAATCTCCTTCAAAGATAATTTCGACATAGACTTTAAAGTGTAGAGGGCCCAAAGGAGGGCAAATATACGGAACACGTCCAACCTTACATCCGGGACCCGAGGGCTGGGTGACCTGCCTAGCGACGACTCGGAGACGGAGGACGACGAAGGCGGCGCATCAGCGTGACCGGGGACTAGGAAGTCCCGAACTCATCATAAGGCCATAAGGTCAAAGTTGTGACTTTACTCATTTTACTCACGCAATGCTTCACACATTCAGCAGCGATGGTTCGTAGTTTTATCCGGACCCTGACGCTGAATATTGTGCGCAATAATTGCTAGATTTATCGGTTGCAAAATATTGAGCATAATAATTTCTAGATATAATGAGCGCAAAATATTGAGCATAATAATTGTTACATTCAATGAGGGCAAAATATTAAGCATAATAATTGCTACATTTAATGAGGGCAAATTATTAAACATAACGATTGCTAGATTTAATGAGTGCAAAATATTGAGAATAATAATTTCGAGATTTAATGAGCGCAAAATATTGTGCATAATAATTGCTAAATTTAATGAGTGCAAAATATTGAGAATAATAATTGCTACATTTAATGAGGGCAGAATATTAAGCATAATAGTTTCTAGATCTGATGAGCGCAAAATATTGTGTATATAATAAATGATATATTTATTGAGTGCAAAACTTTTGTTCATAATACTTGATAGATTTAACGAGCGAAAATATTTTGAATTATAATCGATAGATCTAATGAGTGTAGAACTTTTGAGCAAAATGATTTCTAGATTTAATTGGAGCAAAATATTGTGCTTGACAATTGCTGGATTGAATGTGAGAAAAATATTATCCATATTATTCCTAAATCACGAGTGAATGATATTTTGCATGATAATAACTAGTTTGTATAGGGGCAAAGTCGAGTGTCATTAAATTAAAAATGTCGCTCATAAAACGAATGTGTTTGCCTGATGTCAAACTGAAATACTGTATGTATAGCTATGAAAATAATACCAACTTTGCCTAATTATGATAAAATACAGGTTATGAGCAATTATTATATATGTAACACGTTACAAAAAGCGTAAGCTGTAAAATGTTATGCCCAGGCAATTCATAATGAAGAGATTAGTGATAAGCGACAGTGAGTGTTGGACATTTTCAGTTCTCCAAGAAGCAACTCTATGTTGCTGTAGCACTACCATGCAAAGCTTCTGGCGTTGAAATTACAAAATAAGTTCGTAATCAGTGCTATTTAAAAGTCATTTGCTCTGAGTGACGGCCAGTGCAACATTCAAGTTTCAGCCGCCACTATTTACTGAGCCATTTGCCTCGAGTATATATAGGCGCTGCTGGCAGCGGAATGACAGTTAGTAGCCCTTTAAACGCGGCTTTTAACATGATAATTAGATTGCTAATTATGATGTTATAGACCAATTAGTCTACATATATAAGACTAATTGATATAGGTATTGTGTATATAGACTAATTGATAACAGGGACAGTTATTACTGTCCCTTTCTTAAAATCACCTTAAGGCCACTTTACAACTTCTGTAATCAAAGATAAACGTAACAAAATAACATGTTTAAATTTTATTATTATATCAATGCAACTTTACATCATCAAATCGCCAATTTATTATACCTTCTAGCCCCTTAATGCATAAGAGGATAATTTTTAAACCCTTTTCATGTAAAGTACCTAATTGCATCACGCGATGTGATAAAGTGCAATGAAGGTCTGTATTAAAAAGAATGAGATTTTATATTTACTGACTGAAACTAAGGGTTTTTTAAGCTGTTTTCGAATTATTAATAAGCTTTGTATGAATGATAAGGTTTAAATATATTTGATTTAGGCTCTTTATATTTTATATTTACGATCTGAGAGAAACTTTATTCTCTGAAAGTTACCAAACAATAATATGGCTAGTATTAGATGAAAATTTATCTGCAATGATGTTATGAGCATTCGTAGACATGTTGTGTTGAAGATAACAGCGTCTTCAAAATATTTTTAGCCTCGTATGATGATAAGCAGTAATAAAATACTAGAATATCGAAATAAATTTGGTTCAATACAGTTCAATACTATAAATTTGGTTCAGTACTATAAAATCGCTCAATTAGCGAATTACAAAGTTCCATTACAATACGATAATTATTCCCGATAATGTTAATAATGTAATATTCTAATTATAATATTATCTATCGTTAATTTTTTTTATTTAATATTATTTATCGTTAATAATTTGTGTAGATTAGATTTTGAAATTCCCCATGAAATGTCGTTGTGGTTAAAAATGTCGTGGTTTGCAGCTCCCTTGACAATCATACAGGGTGCATAGTGAAAGTAATGAGCATTTTCTGGCAAATAACATTTATTGATCGTAATTCGTTCTAATGTTCAATATTCTTCAAAATACATTCCTCCTGCATCAATACACTTGCGGAGACGTGTTTGCCACGCCTGAAAGGCACCCTGCAACTCCTCGACGGGAATGCCTCTCAGGAACTTTGTAACATGGTGCTGGATGTGGAAAAGGCTGAGTTTACAGTTTGTCCTTGCGGTACAAACTCACAATGGACTATTCCTCGGATGTCAAAGATGTCATGATCATCGTTTTGACCGCAATACTTCGCGCACACGATCCACGATCTCTTCAGTTTGGGTTGTTGTTGGGCGTCCAGAACGGGGTTCGTCGGCGACCTCCTCCCGGGCCTCCTTGAGTGCCTTGTGCCGCTGCCCAGATTATGATCTTGAAATGCAATCGTCCTTGAAGGCTTCTTGTAGCATCTCTAATGTTTCGTTGCATTTCTTCCAAGCCTCACGCAAAACTGTATGGCGTATCGTTGTCCAAGCGAACGCTCCAGGACGCTGTGTTACAAAAGTCGAAAACACACTTCACGCGGATGCTCGTTTCTCCGCTCATGCTGCTCGAACTCAAATGACGACCTGATGCACTGAAAGGGCATTTCCCCCACCACATTCCCCAGCCGGTTTGACCGCGCTGCAATCTATCGTCGCGTCACAATAACATAATGCTTATTCCTCTCATAATGGACCCTGTATTTGGTCTATAGCTCACTTGGCAGCCATTTATGGTCTATAGCTCACTTGGCAGTTAAATATGGTCTGTAGCTCACTTGGCAGCCATATACGGCATGTAGCTCACTTGGCAGCCTTATTTGGTATTTAGCTCCATTGTCAGTCATACATGGCCTGTAGCTCGCATGACAGTCATATATGATCTGTANTCTGTCTCTTATACACATCTAGATGTGTATAAGAGACAGGTTCTATACTCCTAATCTCTCCTCAATTGTTTGAATTACACAGACTGTACCTCCCACACAAATGTATGGTATTAATTTCCAACACTCGCTGAATATTTTTATGCGCTGGAACCATAATCACTTTTGCGTTCGTTGGAATTCAATTCAATATTCAATCATTGGAATTCATCGAATTATTCAAGGCTTTCACGTAACAATAGCCATCATATACCAAAAATCAGATGTCAAAAGCACGGGACGAGTAAAGAGGAAATATTAAAACATAAATCAAAAATTTGTTATGGCGGGTCTCCGTTCGGTCAACCATTCTTTGATAACACAGCAGTTTCAGCACTCAAAAATATTCATGGTTTATACTAACCAAATCGTTCACTTTTTGAAGTGGTACGAGCTTTTTCTGGGTGAAACTGCATGGGTCATAATGACCCACACAAGACCAAAAACTACATTGCTGTTTAAAAAAAGCCTCACTCACTTCTCTGAGTAAATGTACAGTGAAAGTGAAAGCAGGTAATTTAGTGAACGGATACATCATCCCAAGTCTAAGAAATATGCGGTAAGTTGTTGTGAAACTCTTTTCTGGATTCGCCTATAAATTATTGATCTGTGACACATGAAATGCAATAATAATAATACCACCGCAAAATATTAATCATTAAAAAATATAACTCAGTAGTCACAGTACTCGCTGCAGTGAGTGACAGAGAGCGCATTTTCTCGTCGACGAAAACATGAAGTCACGGACATATGGACGAACAGACGGACGGACTGACAGACGGACGGACAAGACGAGCACAATAGGGTATTTTTTCCATAAATGATAAAATGCGCTAAAAATGATGGAATTTTCTTATTTTCGATCAGAAATTTATTTATCGCGAAAAGAAATGAATGAACTAAATAGAAATGGAGAGTTTAGTAAAGCGAGAGCTTTTTTTTTATTCGTACGTATAAAAAACATAAATATATGTGCGTGGAGGCCAGTTAATGAAAGCCATCCAGTGACTCATAAATTAAATAATGTTGGAGGTGTCGATGCGAGTGGTAATAACTGATGTCGAACGAGATTACTATTGTTCGTACGCAATATATGCCATGTCGACTTCAGTATACTACTCTTTGCAACAACCGCTTAAAAATAAGGACAATTTTTCAGAAACTCACCATGCGATTATAAAATTTTTTCATCAGCACTATTATTTCTTGACGCAGAATCTGTTGCCGAAAAAACAGTTATGCCGATAAAATATCGGAATATTGTGATAAAATATTTAGATAGAATGCAACTCATTGCAATAAATGGAGACATAAAAATTGGAGCTGACCGGTACATTCAAGGAAATAATTCAAGAAAAATTAGTTACAACTTTTTCCTATAGAGACAACATATTACTTATACGATTAGACAGCGAGAGAGAGAGAAAAATATAACTCAGTACTCACTGCAGTGAGTAACAGAGCGCATTTTCTCGTCGACGAAAACTCGAGGTCACGGACAGACGGACGGACAGACAGACAGACAGACGGACGGACGGACATGGCGAGCACAATAGTGCATTTTTTCCATAAAGGAGAAAATGCGCTAAAAATAGCATTGCCAAGGAATAAACGAACTTGGTCATTTGTAGGTATTGAACGAATTTTTATGAGCTCTTCGGCTAGTGATTTTTTTAAATGCATAGTTTTTATTGTAAGACGTCAACTTAATACAATATTTCATCAAGTTGTTATTGAATTGAATGACATGAACGATAATCTTAGCTAATGAAAGATTTTTGTGTCTCGTC